AGATGGAAGCTATGTTCCCTCTCCTTGAATCCGGGCCAAGCTCAGTGACTCACAGATAACCAACAGAACGGTTGGAAGTGACAATACACGACCCCAGGGGTAGGACATAGAAGATGAAGCAGCTTTTACCTTGTTTGCTGGAGCCCAAGCACCAGAAGCCTTGAGCCGCCAAGTAATAACTCCAGCTACCTTAGAGCTAGTGTGCAGTGAGGAAGACCAAACTCATCTAAGCACAGAGACCACGTGGAGAGACTTGAAGGACAGGAAGGGGAGATGGAGAGGGAGAGCAGGGGATGGGGCATTCACTGGCCGGGCTCCAACTGCCTTTTACTTTGATTGGTAGGGACAATACAAGATCTCTCTACTCTGGTTGATGGGAACACAAACTATTCTCAGCATCAGAAATTGTTTCTGATGGCTCTTTCCCAGACCTCCTGGAGTTCCACCCTTCCACGGCACAGATCAGTACTCGGGCAAAAGTATGAGGGGAAGGGTACACCTGGGCAGACCTCCAAGACTCTGTGCCACTTCCTCCTCTCCAACACCAGCCCATTGGCTTCCCTGAATTCCCACCTCTGTCTCCTCCATTCAATGAAACCACTTGTCTCTGTTTAGCTTCCCTTCCCTGCTTTGTGCCCTGAACATGACTCCAGGCAGTAAGCTGGGGTCACTATAGGACTTACCTTATTTGTTTCTCTTCTCTCGGGGATCACAACTCTGTATTGCCTGTTGTCCAATATCTGAAAATAGTTGCTTCCAGTAGGAGGGCAATCTGCAGAAGCAGAAGTCCAAATGTAACAGTTAAAACCTACATAAAAAACTGAATTGTGTTGTCTGATCTTAAATTCATACTCAAAAATACAAACAAACAAACAAAAAAGCCCCTCATACTGTAGTAATAATAGTAAAGTTTCTTGAATATGTTCTCTATGGTAGCTATTATCTCTAACTTCCCACTCTTTAACTGGGTACATTCTGGCTTCTACCCTTCACTTCACTGAAGGGACTCTTAACACACCATCTGTAACCATCTTATTACTCCAAAGAATTAATTTCAGTTATTTTCTTACTTTATCTTATTCAGTTACGTTATTCAATATGGTAGCCAATAGCCACACGTAGCTACTGGGTACCTGAAATATGGCTAGTCCAAACTGAGAGGTACTGGAGGTATAAAATACACACCATACTAAGATTTCTAAGACTTAGTATGAGAAAAAGGATATAACATACTATATTAATAATTTTATATTAATTACACAGTAAAATGATGTTTTAAATATTTGGGGTTAAACAAAATATATTTATAAAATCAATTTCACCTATTTCTTTTTACCTTTCTAATACTGTTACTAAAAAATTTACAATTACATATGTGACTCCCATTATACGTCGAAAGGCCAGTCCTGTACTATAGCAACTGCTCCTACTGATAGAGCCCTGCTTTCAACTCTCTCCTTCTTTGGTAAGTGAGACTTGGCTCTTTCCTAGTTTTCTGGCTACCTCACTGCCTGCTCCTTCTCAGACTTCTCCTCCAAAACCTAAATATATTGTTTTCAAATTTCAGTGTGCTGCAAAATCACCGACTTGCTTGCCAAAAACACAGATTCCTGAAGCGCATCTGTAGAGATTCTGATCTAGTACTAACATTTACCAAAACTCTCATCTTCAGCTCAAATTCCTCTCATTGCCTGCCTCTTCTTCCCAAAGGCGTGCTGCACATCTTCAGTGGGATGTCTAAAACTGAACATAACCAACGTTTCATTCCTTGTCTCTATTTCCCTAACCCGCTTCCCTTTTGTCCTCCCAATTACCCTAGCTAGAACCCTAAAATCATCCTCTCCTTGTTCCTCACATTTCTGTCTAATCCGTTTCTAAAACTGCTTGCTTAACTTCTATCCTCTCCATGCTTTCTTAATTCCCTTACTTTTTTTTTTTTTTAAATAATAATTGCCTTATTTCAATCTGGGCACTATTGATGTTTTGAACCAGACAGTTCTTTTGTGAGGGGTTGTCTTGCACATTGCAGGATGTTTAGCAGTTTCCCTGTCCTCACCCCACTAGATATCAGTTGTACCCCCTAGCTGATAAAACAAAAAATGTCTCCAGATGTTACCAACTCTCTAAGGAAGGGGAGGGGTGGAATCACCCCACCCCACAGAGCCCTGAGTTGATTGAGGCCGTGGCGAGACAGTCCACCTGGATCTCCTGCCCAGTTCTGTACCTCTTCCTTCTCCACATGCCTCAGAGTTTTACAGTTTACTTCAGAATAAAATTTAGTATCTCTAATGTGGCATAAAGGGCATTATCTGTCCTCTGCTTACCTCTCTCAGCTTCCCACTCTAGATATACTGAATTCTTTGCAGTTTCCTTAAGGGTGGATGAAAGTCATAAGAGGTATTATTAGTCAGAAAAACATGTTAACTACACTAGTAGCTTAGGAGATAAATGCAAAATTTATTGGATGTTTTATATAGATAATACAAGTAAGCATGCACTTGGTGGAACATAGGCAGAATGCTGTTAAATATACACAGTGAGTAAACTATAAGTCATGCCAAAGTTAAAATAAATTGAAAATATCATGGAACAGGACATTTATAGTTTAAAAGGGGGGGAAAGGGGACTAAGCTATGAATAATTATGCTATCTCTGGGCTGACAGCTATGTCACCACTAAATTATCCATCCATAGGTGACACCTAGTACAGTCGCATATGTGCCCCATCCAAAAAAAAATAAAAATAAATAAATTCAAATAAACCCATGTCTGTTCAGGCTAATTAGTAAGCTCTGGTTGTGACCAGGCACATTTCCCTGCACTTATCCAGCCGAGCAGGTGTGTGTGCTATTGACTCAAAGCACTTTCCACCTGTGGGCCTCCTTGTAGCGACCTGAACTCTAGTCTACATAAGCACATTATCCATGGAAAAGGCTGATGTGGCAGACAGAACATAAGAACATTGCTTAACTCCTTACTCAAGTGATGGCCTTCCCCCTGTTTGCGCCCTATTCTAAACATGTCAACTTACTCCCACTCTTTCTCCTTGTTTTTCACTGGGCATTAAAATCAATTCAATAATCCATGGTTGCCCTGGCCAGTTTGGCTCAGCAGTTGGAGCGTCGGCCTCCCAGGTTCGGTTCCCGATAGGGACACGTACCAAAAAAACATAAAAGAAAGAGAAAATAATAAACCATGATATTCAAGTATCTTGATTTGGTCTGTGAGTCTTCTATTTTATTATCTTTGGGCAGCTTGCCTAGTAGTTTGCTTGGAAGCCACCACTGCATCAGATTAGTTTTCCATATGCCAGCTCAATTCAAGCAATAATCTCCTCTCAGAATGCCCCTGCATTAGTAACTCATTATATACTGTTCATATTCTGCGTTTCCATTATGGCATTTATCACACCACACTGTGATTAACTCTTTTTTTTTTTAATCCTCACCCGAGGACATTTTTCCTTTTTTTGTACAGATAGAGTGAGAGGAAGAGAGAGAGAGGGAAACATCGATGTGAAAGGGACACATCAAGTGGCTGCCACCCGCACGACCAACCAGGGCCGGGGACAAACTGCAACCGAGGTACATGCCCTTAGCGGGAACCGAACCTGGGTCTCTCCGGACCGCAGGTGGACACTCCAAACGCTGAGCCAAACCGGCCAGGGCTGTGATTAACTCTTGACTTCTTTGTTTCTCTTTCTAGCTCCTGAGCTCTTTGAAAGGAGGGATACATTTTATTCTTTTGCCTCATTATAAATTAGCAAAGCGCCAACCATAAATTACTGAAAGAACTACTGCATGTGACCTCCTGAAGAAACAGTTGAGCAGATTATCTATTGTTTTTGCCTTTCTTTCATTCCCCAATTCTAGAACTGGTGTAATTTGGTGAGTAGCAAAACTCTGTCTGGTTACACAGGAGCATGAAGGGGGTAGTAAAATCCCCTAAGACCACGGGAAAACATACTTCCATGGTCTTGGGAACAGAGACACCGCTCCTCTATCCCTCTCCAGGCGGTCTGCCCACATGCAGATACCCCCACACACAACATGAGGAACTATATTAAAGGGTCCCGGCATTAGGAGGGTTGAGAACCACTAAGGGATCATGAGCTCTCACAGATTCTAAGTGAATAAATCACTTTAAAAATTAATGAGTGGCCAGGCTGGTGTGGCTCAGTGGCTGAGTGTCACCCATGCACCAAGAGGTTGCTGGTTAGATTCCCGGTCAGGGCACATGCCCAGGTTGTGGGCCAAATCCCCAGTGAGGGGCATGCAGGAGGCGGCCAAGCATGTTTCTATCTCTCCTTCTCTTTTCCTCTCTCTCTCTAAATCAATAAAGAAAAAAAAATTTTTTTTAATTGATGAGCGCCTAAACTATATACAATAAAGTTATTTCTTTCCTCAAAAAAATTTACAAGCATCTTCCTGTAGCTCATATTATACTCTAAGTCATTAAAAGAGATGCATATTGGAATGCATTTAGCTTGAAATTAAATTAACGAAATGTGAGACCTTAAATAAAGGGTCGGTTCCTGAGGTCCTTTTAACACATTCACTTCTTCAGGGATTAGATCGATTGTGGTGCAAAAATCTGGCTTCACGGTCAGGCGAAGAGGTTTGCGAACAGATTCCAAACTAGCCAAACCGGTATCTTGGAAGCGACGGCCTCTGGGACTAAAACACACGCCTAACCTCCAAGGGCCGACACCAAAATAGCGCAGGGAGCAACTGTTGCCTCACCTTGAATCATTCGCCAATTGACACCGCCCAGCCCTTCCAGCCCCGGAGGCTCCCGGCGACGCGCCGCTCTAGGCTTCTCCCGGGTCTCTTTATGGTAGCGCTGAGCCTCTCTAGCTCTCGCTCGCCGTCCTCTCGGTGGTAGTGCGAGGACGCGCGGAAGAGCGGGCCGCCGAGTTCGTCGTGCGTGGTTACGAGTTCTTCTCGAACCCGGGCGGAGCAGCTCGCGCTAAGGTGGAAAGGGCCGTGGGGGGAGATTGTGGGAGGGAATGAGCGGGGGCGTGGAGACCCGCTCCTGGATAGGAGGAGGTCCCGGGCCGGGTCACGGAGACCGGTGAGAAGTGGGAGAGGAGGCCCGGAAGCGAGAGGGGAGTTTTCAACGGCCAGGTGGGCCTCCCGCCTTGCAGAGTAAACCCCGCCCCCGACCCCAGGTCACCTGCCCCCTTGGAGTCGAGGCCCGGCGCGGTTCCTGCTGCATCTGTCGCGTCCGCGGGTTGTCGCCTCCCAGAGACGGGGAACCCTCGAACCTATAGCCCAGGCTTGTGCTAGTTTAGATGAGGGTCTTGTGGCCTTGAGCCAGCGTGTATCTCGCCAATTTTGTTTTTATTTTTGTAATCGAGTCCTCGTTGAAGCCGGAGGCGCAGTAGTAGCCGTTTTGGGTACCGGTACCATGCACATAGTAGGTACTCCTCGGACGTATCTGGTGGCTTGAAACATGTTGATAGAGCCGTGAACTAGGGCCTTGGGCATGTGACCACCGCAGGATTGGGGAGGGAATCATTGTGGGGTCCGTGGGCTTAGTCACATGATGTGGGAGATTCAGCCTTCTCGGTGGGAGATTCTTACAGCTTCTGGACATGTATTCATTTAAAAGACGTTGTGAGGTAACTTCTAAGTGTCCGTTTTGTGCGAGAGAAGCTTCAGCTGTAAATGGGACCCAGGTGATCCCTTGCCCTCACGGAGCTTAGTGTGTAATGGAAAAAACGAACAAGTAACAAGCCTGTGATGAGTGCCGTGAACAGGAAATCCCACGAAGTTACTACTCTTCCGCCTTGGCTGATGAAGTCACACCGTATACCTCCTGTCTTCCAACAGCTGGAAAGTAACAAAGCTTTTCTATTCACATGAACGTGTGCGCACAAAGGAAGGAGGACCTGTAGCAATGGTATTTGGGTAAGGCTCAGCCAGGGGTGAAGACACTGGTTCTGCCTTGAAGGATAACTTAGCATCACCTGGCAGACAGAAAGCCCAGGCCTTTCTTAGCAGAGAACAACATAAAGGCATACAGCATAAAAGAACTTTGCAGGTAGTGTAGTTTGACTGGAGTAATGTGGCCTTTAGAACAAATAATGGCATTCTAAGGGCCCAGACTTTGTTTTCTAAGAAGAGGTAAAAAAAAGTGTTTTCAACAGAATGATTACAATTCAGTTTCGCAATCACTCAGCCATCCATAGTGCGCATGAGTTATTGTTTGACCATTTTGGTTTACATCCAAAATAAGGTAGAAAGAGGAGAACTTTACTCATTCCTCTTGGTCTGAAAACCTCGTAGTTGTTGAAATCCCTCCTCAGTTCTCTTTGGCCTTTAGGAACCAGTTGAATAGTGACAAATTGCAAACAGAGTTTGGAGTCCTGAAGAGGTGGCTACATCTTTCCAAACTTGATCTGAGTGTACACTGGACAGCATTAAAATCTGAGGGGAGTGCATTGGGTGAGCCTAGGGTAAATCATTAGGACCTAATTAATGGATTCTGCATATAAAGTAAAATTAGGTTTGGGTGTGTATGTTTTTTAATTCATTCAGGAAATACTTAAGTGTCTCTGATATACAGCCATTGTGCTAGCTTGGTAACTAGAGCTCTAAACTTCAATTTTTTTATATGTAAATGGGGATGATAGTCCTTCAGAGTTGTAAAGAATAATGAGATGGTGTTTGTGCTATCACTGTACCTGGCCCTTACTATAAATCTTTTCATTGGTACTATGGACTATATTTTTGTTTTAAATTCTCTGTAACTTTCTTACTGGCACTGGACCTTCTTGAGGATTGAGACCATCTCATCTTGGCTCTTTAGTCCTGTTAGTGCCCACTCACATGTAATATAGACAGTTAATATTTGAAGATATTAAATGGGCACAAAACGTTGACAGTTGCAAGAGGCATGACTTCTTTATGTGTGCTCATAACTAACTAAAACTGCTGATATGCATTGTAGGGGTGGATGAAATTTTTTAAATTTTCATTAAATAAGAAAACCTAGAAAATTCTATTTAAATTATAAGATCCTATTCTTTACCCCTCCCCACAAAAGGGCATTTTTTTCATGAAAGGGGAGGACTGTTGAGTTAACCTAAAAATTCAGTAAATTTTTTGTTTGGTTAAATTTCCTCTTAATGCTACTTTCCCCACTAATTATGAGACTGGTAAAGTAAAAAGCTATAATTAATGAGAAATCAACACATTGGAACACAGTATTTTCATACCTCCCCAAAAAATTTTGGGAGGAAAAAAATTAGTTCCCTTTTTAATCTGCACTTCCCTCTGCTTTTGTTTTAGAATAGTTTCATTTTAAACTGAGTAGGTCCTATAATTTGTTCATAGGAAGTTCAGATTCCTTTTAAGAGCAGGTAAGAGGTAGAACATAATTTGAAGCTGGCACCAGAGAAAGATCTCTGATTACAGGAAGATGCAAAAAATAAAAATAAAAACAATTGCATGGTAAATGAGGTTGCCAGAATTAGCAAATAAAAATGCAGGATGCTGCCCTGGCTGGTTTGGCTCAGCAGAGTGTAGTCCTGCTTCCAGAGAGACCCGGGTTCGGTTCCCGCTAAGGGCACGTACATCGGTTGCAGTTTGTCCCCGGCCCTGGTTGGGTCGTGTGGGTGGCAACCACTCGATGTGTCCCCTTCACGTCGATGTTTTTCTTTTTTCTCTCTCTCTCCCCCTCCCACTCTATCTGAACAAAATATTGAAAAATGTCCTCGGGTGAGGATAAAAAAAAAAGCAGGATGCTCAGTTAAATTTGAATTTCAGACAAATAACAGCTTACTTTTTAGCAATATTTGGGATATAATTAAAATGAAAACTATTCATATATTATTTAAAATCTAAATTTAACTGAGCATTCTGTATTTTGTCTAGCAACTCCAGTAGTAAATAATTCTAACCCCACAATGACACCTAAGCGGATGGATGCTTAGAAAACAGTATAATTGTGCAGACAGATTAATTCCTTCAAGTGTTCCTCCAAAAATTATAGTACAGTACTCAAAAGTGTGCCAAGAGTTTCAGACATTTGGAAGCCACTGTTTACCAGAAAGGGGATGTTGGCTAACTTGAAGAAAAAACTATTTTAACTGCATTTTCCAACTAAGAGTCCAGGTTCATAGTAATTTCAACATAATTTAAGAATTTGTACAATTGTGGAAGATGTTCGAGCAAATACTAGGAACACTTATTTGAGTTAATTATATTTCCAGGTTTCCCAGAGAGTCTACGAGTGCTTAGAAAAAGCTATTCAACTTCACTGGCACAATTTAAATAGTCTGCTAATAAATTCTTATGAACAATACAGTGACTTAACCAAATTAAAAGAAAACAAAGGAATAGAAGCTCCCAGTAGCCAAGGAAAAGAATTCCCTAGTGGGTAAAAATATTACTATGGACAGAAAAAATTTCTAAAATAAATTTTCTAAGTCACAAGGATAGGGAATGTCAAATATGCTCTATCAAATATGATGTTCCTTATCAAATATGGTCAGGGTAGCTCAAGTCTTTGAATACTAAGAACTAGTCCTATGTTCTGTAAATCCTGTTATAGATTGGTGGCTACAAATTGATTATAGTTATCTACAAATATAAGAATCTGTGGCATTAATAAGACATTAAGCATTAGCAGGTTTATAATGTGCTGATCAGATTTTCTTAATTATACTGACTTAAGAAAAGTCAGAGCCAGTTTTTTGTTGTGTAACAATACCTCTCAATTTTTCTTTTTCCACTCCTTGATTTAGCTTAACACACTTTTCTCCTTAAAAATCTAATTATTTGTATGATACAGACCATTTTATTTGATGTGATTGGGACCTATACTTGGTACTTAAATTAAGTTAAAATGTTAACCTTTTAACAATTTAAATTTTATTTTTTAATTTTTAAGTTTAGTATTTTAACTTAAAACATCAAGGTGTATATTTATTCACTTTTTTTTATTACGTGAGACCAGAGTCTATTCTTTGTGGTTTTACTGATTACAGTTTGTCTCTGCAGAAAATGCATAAGAGTATCTTCAAGCCCTGGCCAGTTTGGCTCAGTGGCTGGAGCATTGGCCTGTGGAACAATGACCCGCGGGTTTGATTCCAGTCAAGGGCATGTACCTTGGTTGCAGTTGGTACCCAGCCCTGGTCAGGGTCATGCAAGAGGCAACCAGTCTGTGTGTTTCTCTCACATCGATGTTTCTCTCCCGCCCTCCCTCCCACTCTATCTGAAGATAAAATAGAAAAATGTCCTCAGGTGAGGATTTAAAAAAAGTATCAAGATTTCTCACCAGTTTTTAAATAGAGAGCAAAGCCCAGCCAGTGTGGCTCAGTGGATTGAGCATCTTCCTATGGACTGAGAGGTCCCAGTTTGATTCCCTGTCAGGGCACATGCCAGAGTTCTGGGCTCGCTCCCCAGTAAGGGGAGTACAGGAGGTAGCCAATCTATGTTTCTGTCTCTCTCTCCCAAAATAAAATAAAAGACATCTAAAAAATAAAATAAACAGAGAGTAAAGCTTATAAAAACACTTGTGAGATTGCAGATTCCTACATTTTTTAATGTTTTACCACCACCCAGATTAAAATTTTTCATATCTACTTTCAACATCAATTTTTTTTCCTAGTGACTTGCATTTGTTGTGTATTTGTTCTGGAAAATTTAGTTACGAAAAACTCTACTAGCAAATAATGAAACACTTGTGTACATGCACCAACCTTACCTTCTTCCTGTGAAGTATCCACAAATTTGCTAGCTGTTACTCCTATGTATATTTTAGTATGTATTTATGCTTTCACCCATAAGTAATATATATTACTTTGTGTGTTTAAAATTTTACATAAATAATATACTGTATATACTTTTTCATCTTTTTTCACTTTGAGATTTATGTTGATAAATGTAATTCATGCAGTCTATTTTAACTGTCCTGTAGGAGGCCCCCCTATGAGTAACCCACAGTTCCTTGTCCTTACAGTTATTTCCAGCTTTTTGCTGTCAAAAAGTGAATGCCGAAAGTCCTTGTATGTAACGTGCTCATATGGGACATATTTCCCTGGCACAGACAATTAGAACTGAAAGTACAAGGTCCTCGGATGTACGCTTCATTTTTCGAGAAATTGCAAAAAAAAAAAAACACTCTAAAACAGTTGCAGCAATTTACATTCCTCCCGAAGTATAAGAAATATATAAAAGTTGGTCACATTTTAGCTGGCACTAGGTTATCAGGTTTTTTAAAATTTTGCCAAGTGATTGTTTGAGAAATAGTATTAATTTGCACTTTACTGATAATTATGAGAGTGAACATCTTTGCATGTATTTACTGTCTGTTTTGTTCTCTTAGTGAATTGCCTATTTATGTGTGTTTAGTTTTCTAATGGGTTCTTTGCTATTTTCTCATTGATTTGTAGAAGTCAGGATTTTTTCAGATATCTGGAATAATCTAACAACAGCTTATAAGTGTGACTTTTTTTTCTCATTGAGAGTTATATAGAATGTTTAATTTTGACATATAGTCAAATGTATCCATCTTTTCACTTGATTTGTGCATTACTTTTTAAGAAATTCTTCTCTACCCCAGTATCACAATGTCTTCTATGCTTTTTGTAAATATCTTTCCGGTTTCTCTTTTCATGTATAATTCTTTAATCCAACTGGAGTGAATTTTTATGTGAGAAAGAAATCTTATTCTGCCTTTTCCCACATGGTCAGGCAGTTTTCCAAGCACCTTTCATTAAATTCTTCTCCCATTAATGTGTAATACCCATTGGTTTATAATACCATATGTCATACATCTTCCTCTTTTCATGGATCTATTTGTCTATATTATGCCCATACCACAGTTTTTATTATAATAGTTCTACAGTAAATAAATCTTACTCTGTTTCCCTTCAAGATTCTCCTGGCTTACTTGGACCTTTACTCTTGCATATAAACCAGTTTGCGGAATTCCAAGAGGAAGTAGGCAGAATACCTGATGGGATTTTGATTGGAGTAGTTTTGAATTTATAGATCAATTTCTAGAGAATTGACACATTTACTATAGGCTTTCCAAGGCATATTTCTACATGTATTAAAAGTGTCTTTTTGCCATAAAAGTCTTGTATATCATTTGTAAGATTTATATATTTTGTAAGGTATCTTAAAGTGTCTTTGGTTTTCAGTATCCTTGTTAAATTATCTTCCTAATTTTATTAGTTTGTCTGCTAAAACCTCTTATATTTTCCCATAGATATTTATATCATCTTTGAGTGTTATTTCTTGTTTCTTTTCAATTCTTATACCTTTTAATATGGTGTTAAATGGAAGCTGTGACAGCAGGTATTATGTAGTTCTAACTTTACAGGGAATGTTTCTAATGTTTTATGATTCAATATAATAATGTTTATTGTAGGCTTTTGGTAACTACCTTTCTATTTCTTGTTTGCTAAGAGTTTTCTTTCATTTAAACAGGCATTGAATTTTATCAAATGCTTTTTCAGTTTCCCAGATAAAGAGTTCGCAGCACAATCTGACTCTTTAATATTTTCTTTAGGGTGCTCTGCACATGACTTATTAAAGAGAAATCGCTCAACAAAATTAAAACAGGAAATTTGCTGGAATCAAGAATGATGGATCCGTGTTCAGTTGGAGTTCAGCTTCGTACCACAAATGAATGCCATAAAACCTATTATACTCGTAACACAGGTTTCAAGACTTTGCAAGAATTGTCATCAAATGATATGCTCTTACTTCAACTTAGAACTGGAATGACACTTTCTGGGAACAATACAATTTGCTTTCATCATGCAAAAATTTACATTGACAGATTTGAGGATTTGCAGAAGTCATGTTGTGATCCATTCAACATACATAAAAAGCTAGCCAAAAAAAATTTGCATGTAATTGACTTAGATGATGCTACTTTTCTGAGTGCAAAATTTGGCAGACAGCTTGTACCTGGTTGGAAGCTTTGTCCAAAATGCACACAGATAATCAATGGAAGTGTGGATGTTGATTCTGAAGACCGGCAGAGAAGAAAACCTGATTCAGATGTATGTATAGGAGTCATTTTTTCTGTTATTTCTACACTGTGGGGTTTTGTTTAACTATAAGGAAATCATATTTTTTTTTACTATACTAATTATCATGCAGTGGATATAAAGTTGGGGAAATGAAAATAAATGGTGTTTTTAAATATTTCCATATACTGCCTAGATCACCAATTATCAGCCTTCTTTATTTCATGGCACAAAAAAAATATTTTCTTGCAGGTCTGACCAAAAAAAAATAGGTATAATTTTTATTCATTCACACTGGGTGGCTATTGTTGGGTTGGCTGTTGTCATTTCTTCATTTGACAGTCTAAGGGAAAAGAGGTCAGTGCCCCTGACTAAATAGTCAGGTATTGCATGTTTTAAAAATTCTTGTAGCACACTAGATGAATATCTCTATTCTAGATTGAATGATAAAGAAAGTAGGCTTGGGAAAGGAATAACATAATATGCCCAAGACTCTCAAGCTGTAACTTCTAGTGCTAACTCACTTCTAGTGAGTAACTTTTAGAACATTCTGGCAAAGCCAGGACTTAACTATCTTAGTTTCTTTTCTAATACCAAAGAAACTCAGTGGGACATGCCAGCAGCAAGGGTCTATATATATAGCAAGATGGATTCCCCTTTCTATGAAGGACTTGAAAATTATGCTTTAAAAGAAACATCGGAGAAGTGACTTGCAGTAATTGTTTCTTATTTCAACTTTTTTTCCTCATTTGGCATTATCCCATTCTTGTTTGGGTTTTTGAGAAGGTTGTGAGTTTTCTTTGCTGCTAGCTCTGAAATTTTACTTGGTATGGTTAAAGCTAATTTTAGGGCTCCCTGTGGTCAAAAAGCATACATTTTTACATCGTAAGTAATAAATATTTTATAACTCTCTTCACAGGGCTCCATTCAGATTCTTTAACCATATCAGAACAACTTAAGATTTCATAAAGCTCTCTTTGATGTAGAACAAAGACAAGTATGTCAAAGGAGCACTTCTCAAAATTGCTGTTTATAACTAATTTATAAATACTTGCTGCTGGCATATTTTTCTCGCTTTTATCTTTCATTAATAAACCAAAGTAAAAGATAATTAAAATTTTAAATTATATGTAGTGTTTTCCTTTTGTGCTCCACTTAGAGGCCTTATCTCCAGGACCCAATGTTATCTTGCAGTTCATACTAGGTACTTGCTACTGTCACATAAGATGTCTTCTCCACTTCATCCATTGCTCTTGTGGATTGTATCACATAAATCTGTTTCCTAAGTAACAAACGGTTAACTATCCAAATTTTGTAATGCATTTCAGGACTTGAAACCATATTCTCTGCTTTTGAAACCATATATAGTTGTAACGTAAACTTAAGGACTCAGGATCATTGGTAGGAACCTCAGTTGTGTGCCATTGGGTTATAAAGTAGTGTTTCTGACTTCTGCCCTGTTGGCAGCGGCCGTATCAGGTTTCACCATGTCTGCCCTTCCCCCTCTCCTATATGCCAGAAATTCAAATTAGATAATGAAAATATATATATGTAAGTTAACCAGTAAATTTTGAATGTGGTCCAGGGCTATGAAAATGTTGCAGTTGGGCTCTGAAACCTATTTTTCTTCTTTGTGAGTTCCAGACTGTGCTTTCAGGTTAAGGAATAACCTGGATTAACATTAAGTGAAATAGTAATATGATCTGATGTCAAGATTTAAGTTGATAATTTGTTTACCTTTATTCAGGGAAGAACTGCTAAAGCTTTGAAGTCATTACAGTTTGCAAACCCGGGAAAGCAAACTGAATTTGCTCCAGAAACTGGTAAAAGAGAGAAAAGAAGGCTTACAAAAAATACAAACTCTGGTTCAGACAGGTAGGCTATGTGTTACCTAGGTATATGGTAACTTTCTGCTTCGCGTCTGTATTGTTCCTCTGTCTTTCTCTTAAGTTTTGAATTTTCTGGGTAAATATTTTAAATTGGATTATCAGGAATTGGTAAGAAAATCTGAGGGCCTCATAAAAAAATGACATCTTTTTCAACTCTAAAAGTTTGTTTCTAGGAAGGTATCAGTGAAGTGAACAAAATACTTTTGGTATGAGATTAAAATAATTTAAACTATACTTAGAATTAGAGTAATTGAATTGTTTGAAAAACATTGATACGTAATTGGTATATCTGCTGCATGCTACAAAGTAAATTTTTATGAGAATTTTTATAGGTATGAAATGGAAATGGGTATGGTACAGTCAACAGAATGAATGAGGAAACTAAATGGTTTAGAATATGGCTTTTTAAATCGAGCATCTCTAAAATATAAATTGACAAAGAAATGTTAGTATAATCATTCAAAATTTTCCACAGATGCAGTTTATTCCATCTGTTAAGGTTTTCTGTTGAGTCGTTTTAAGTATTTTTAGGCCAGATTTGCTAGAGCCCATTAAAGAACAAGAAACAGATTAATTTCAGTACAAAAACCACTAGAGTAGTACACTGTAATAAAAATATGTTCACAAAGCAGTAAAGAGATTGGTAACCCAAAAAACATACCACTGTTAACTAGCTATTGTTTTATTTAAAGGTAAGGGAAGTTTTAACAGAAATATACTTATTTTTTTGGACAGAGTTTTTTGTCCATTCCTTTGCTCAGTTGATTTTTCAATGGACTTTGAGAGGCATATTCAGACTTTTTTTAATTTGCCTTAACATTTTAGAGTGGCTCTCTTCTAACATGGAGTTCATATGCTACTAGCTGTAGCGTAGCCTTGAGTCTGGTAAGTCATGTACCAGTCTGGCAGGACTTCATCACTAATTCAGAATATTTTATCTCCTTAAATTTTTTCATTACCTTATTTTCAGTTAACTATTCAAAAATAATATATTGGTGAGGTCTAATTCACCTTGTGTTGATTTTCCAGACAGGTGATACCGGCGAAGAGTAAGGTCTATGATAGCCAGGGTCTCCTGATTTTCAGCGGCATGGACCTCTGCGACTGCCTCGACGAGGACTGCCTCGGCTGTTTCTACGCTTGTCCTGCCTGCGGTTCTACCAAGTGTGGGGCTGAATGCCGCTGTGACCGCAAGTGGCTCTACGAGCAAATCGAAATTGAAGGAGGAGAAATCATCCATAATAAACATGCTGGATAATCTGTGTATCAAATTATGGGATCTTTGAAGTACTTTCTCTATTTCTAAAATTCTGTCATTCTAAGATACATTTTAAAGTTGATTGCCAAACGACAACAATTTTAAAACCACCTCAGCCTGCACTAATGTAAATTTAGACGGGCCGTTTCAGCAGTCACTTTGAGCCTGTCCGGGTCAGTGTAAACAAGTAAGGTATAGGCAGTCCTCAGTTTGCACAATTCACATGTCCACAAATTTCGATTACAGTGATTCGGTTGACTAACGCCAGTTCCCTAACAGCACAGTTCAGATTTCTGTTCCCATGGTCTATACACTGTGAGTAATTACATGAAGTAGTCACTATGTGAATAACAGATGTAGTTCATGAACAGTGACCAGTCACATTACTTCTCTCAAATTCTGCTCGTGATTTGTCACTGCATGTCTAGTAATCAGTTCACTCACAGACAGCAAAGCATACAGGTGAATTGTATCCTTGTCCTGTGTGCGACATTTTGTAAAAGTAGATTATGAAAAGAATGTGCAAAGAAATGAAAATGATAATGCGAGAAGTGAGATTTAAGGGGAACACGAATGGATTTGTGGAAGAAGTCACCGGTCATGGGGATGCTGACAGCGCTGCTGTCCTCGAGCCTGGGGTACTCGGCCAAGAACGCCCCACAGGCGCCAGCACAGCGCTCGTGTGGAAGGATGGCTGTCCCAGAGGAAGTGATGGCAAAAACTTCGCATTAAAGGAAATTACAGAAATATTTCACAACACTGAAAGTACAAACAATGAAACGATAGAAAGTCATCCAAACTCGAAGGACTATGGCAATGAAATAATACACAGATTCTCAAATCTTTCTAATGTTTTAAACGACAGTGCACTAAATAAATACTTTTTTTTACAATTTTTTAATTTATATTTTAGCTAAATAAAGCGATCATAATTTTCCCCAATGACTAAGAAAGATTGTTTGGAATGGCCATTTTGTACCGTCTCATGACTGCAAAGCCAGGCCTGCTTGTAGCAGAAAGCAGGGCCTACTTCAGGGAACAGTTCTGATACAGCTAAGTGGTTGGGTGTTAACTACTTGGGAAATGATCCCCGTATCTGTACTAAAATAGGCCATTTCTTCTCCCCACTTAAACTTCAAAAAAAAAGTATTTTGATACCGTAAACTTTTATTGTTTAGACCATGCATCATGCTTGGTGAAAATGTGTTCTTATCGACAAAAATCTTTTTCTATGTATAAAGCACAAAAGTACATAAATATATAAACAGATATTGATTAAGATTCAAAGGACAAAAAAGTCTCCTTAAGGGAGTAATAATTTTTAAAAAGGTGTAGAAACACTAGCTGAGACTACAGATTATTTGGAAATTGAAACTTGATGTTGGAATTTGTATGGGTGTTTGGAGGATGGGGTTGAGTGATAACCTCTGCTCTTTTTAAAGCAGCTACCTGTTATTCTGTCTAAAATCTTTCATCATTTAGGATACTGCCATTAAATTAGGTTTTTGGTTTTCCTCCTTAAATATAGTAGTTAAGTTTAATTAAATGAGCTTTGAACAACTTGAAATATTTTTTAGCCATCAAAACTATAAATCCATACAGTCAGTTTTATTGACCAATAGAGGTTTATTTTTATTTCTGTACATTTGCTATCTCTTAAAAACTGGTTTTACTTTGATGGAATGCCATTTTCAACCATGAAATTAAATGTCATTTTTAAGTTATAATTGTTCACTGGCCTAGTTATCAGAAGTACAATTAGTTCTTCATTTATATGTTTTAGCAGAGCACTGGCAAAAATAATATTTTAGCTTAAAGTACTTAAATGGCTAGTTTGTTTTTGTTTTTTGAACTAAGGAAACATTTTCTTATAAAAGACTAAAGCATAGACTAATTTTCTCTGAACTTCCAGGATCATTAGACCGTCTTAATTGCATTACTACCGTCATTTTTATTGCTTCCAAGTATGATTTAGTATATTGGTTAGGCTCTTCATAGGGCAAAGGAAAATCTTAGAGATTTTTTTTGTTTGAAACAGCAATATTTTTTCAGTGGGATAAATGACTTTAAAATTCAATTGTTATATTTCAGCATTATTTAAAACATTTTTGTGTTATTTTCAAAGATGGTAAGTTTTCTGAGGAAAAATTTCTTGGAGAACAATTATGCTAATATTTGTTTTTTTATGTCTATTTAGGAGACCAAATTTTTAATGAGCATGCAAAGGTTTATGGAGAAATCTATATCTGATTTAGAGTAGGCTATAATAAAAGCTGTGTTTTGTAAAACTTGTATCTCAAGTCCACTTACTGTTTTTTAAAATAAAATTTCAGAAATACAGAAAACAGAATTACCTAGACCCTTTTTACATTTTGGGTATGATTCAAAGTGGCCAAATTATTTTAGAATGCTATTACTCTAAAAAGCAAAAATAAAAGTTATAAAAACATTCAGCTTCTCCCGTATGTGGCTCCTGGTGAAGTTAATGTAAGTCCACAAACCTTGATCTTACACAATGTTTTGGTCACAAACATTAAAAATGCCTATGTATATTTCAGTAAAATAAGTGACATCCCATGTGATCTTTTTCCTATTTGTCTTTTACAAATATAAGAAAATAGCTTTGGAATATTATGTGAGATTCTTCTGTTGTTGAGATTTACATCTAGTTCTATTAACAGCCTATTCTAAGACTGCTTGCCTGGCATGGATTCAACTAGGTAATTTTTAGCAGATGTATTTTGAAGTGTATATACATATATAGAGTGATTTATTAATACAGAGAGTATAATTTTAGTCAGTTCTAGCATGGTTCTTAACTTTTCGGAGGTCAGAGACCCCTGTGAGAAGTTGATGAAAGCTATGAACTATCTCCCCAGAAAAAAAAATATTCATGTGCTCACAAATACTCCATGTTCAGAATCCCTGAACATGTATCGGAGTTCCTAAGTAATAGGACATATTCTGTAAACCAGTTGACTTTTTTAGGCCAAAGGTGGCTGTCTGAAGTGTGGTTTGGTTTGTAATATAGTATTGAAGATGGTTTTTGTTGAACAAAATCAGAGCAGTTCAGTTCTTTGAAAGGACTGTTGTGAAAAACCAGATCCCACTACACCTCCCATTCTCACCCCGCTGTTCTCCCCCCAAAGGGTAATTTGCAAGTCAAATAACAATGTAGAAAGCAGGGGTCTTAAATGGACTAAGCTTTGGTAATTAGAGATTTTCTATTTCGCTGTGGTCACCATGCTAGAGCCTGTAGAAATTCATGTGACATAGCCTTGGTTTTTGCTGACATCTGCTGGTATCTTCGTGAAAGTAAACTGCGGCTTCTGAACACTAACCTCATGTCTTCTAGATTAAACTTTAAACACTGGTAATGACATTGAAGTGGGAAGTTTTTAAAGAAACTCTCAAAGTAGAACAGCTTCTCTTTTTAGCCTTCTTAGGACTTGCCCCACAGTAGTCAACCATATGAGGTTTAATTTTCAAGAATGGAATCGATGGTGTATACAAAAGTACGCATAGGCACTTTTGGGTTTCTTTCATTTATTTTTATAAAGTGGAAAGACTTGGAAAAATAATGTTTTTATCTATGTTCTTTTTAAAAATTGCCAAACACTTCATTGAACACTTAGTTTGAAAGGTGTAATAGCCTTCTGTAGAGTATGTATTCCCAACTTGTAGATTATTTTGTGATGGTACAGTTCTGAGGATTGACTCGTTTTACCAAGATAATTTAACTTCAAGAAGCTGGAGGAAATTTACCAGATAAAGCAATTGGGTTAGTAATTCTGGATCTTTAAATGCAATTTGAAAGCATTTAACACCAGCTCTATGCAGTGGCACAGCTAAAGGTGCTGTTTCTCCTGTGATTGAAGCCACGAGGGAATGATTTCTTTGCAGACACTTAATGACTAGAAACTTCAACTTTCTCATTTCATACCACCATAAGCAAACAAATATGTTTTATTCAAGAGTTGCCATAATCTTTCCAGACTATGTGAGATAAGTGAACTTTGCTAAAAAAAAATGTTTGCAAACGTTGCTAAAACTGCCAAAACCTCCTAACACTCCCGGCTTCAACAGCTAACACCTGGAAACACAAAAGAAGGGTTAGACTCCTGATTTTCACGTAAACAGGCTGGGTGATACTTTTTTACCCCGTTCTTTTCACAGGCACATTTTGAGGTGAGGACACATTTTACTTTAATGGAATAAAATAAAAACCAGACATTGCCTCAGGGTTCAGAATCCTTGTCTTTTCGAGAGAAAAGAAAACATCGAAAATCAAGTATGAAAACCTTAAATCAGGCTTTAGTGGGAGACCTGAACATTACTAAATGTAAATACTGGCTCTGTAAATATCCCTTTGTTATCAACAAACCATCAGAACAATGTGATAAATCCAAAGTAAGTTGGTTTTTATTGTTTTATACCCTGATAGCTAAAATTTATGATTTGGACTTTAAGGTAGTATTTACTTGTAGTTTTTGGTGGCATAAGATAAAATAATGATCTCTCTCATTGATGTTTCTACCTCTCTTTCCCTCTTTCTCTCTAAAATCAATAAAGAAAAGAAAAGAAAACAATTTTTTTTAATAGCCCAGCCAGTGTGGCTCAGTAGTTGAGCGTCGACCCACGCACCAAGAGGTCGCTGGTTTAATTCCTAATCAGGGCACATGCCCAAGTTGTGGGCCCGATCCCCAGTGGGGGGCCTGCAGGGGACATCCAATTGATGTTTCTATCTCTCCCTCTCCCTTCCTCTTTCTCTAAAATCAATAAAGAAAAAAAAAATTTAAGATAAAATAATGACAACAGTGGTACCAGGTGAAAGGGTTTTACAAGATTCTGGGTAAAGTACAAATTTAATTTTTGGCATTAAGATAGGTAAAGTGATTCGGGATGTTCAGTGAATTGTGGCATCAGTAAGGTTTTTGATCTCATGCTTTCCCCTAAGGTTACTTGGCCTTTTGCTTTGGATTGGACTTGTATTGTTCTCCAGGT